ACGAAGCCTCTTGGATGAGGGGCGAAACGTTTCTTTTTAACAAAAAACGAAGTCCAGATGACATGATTCAACCTTTTTTTGTTGTTATATACCTGGATGACTGAGAAAACAAACTTTGTGAAAGGAGCTACTGTTTTTTCTTTTTGCTGAAGGCATTTCACTTAAAACAGCTAACAATCAGAAATTAGATCCTAACAGATGGAATAGACAATCCTATTTCATTTAAAACTCCAATGAAAGAAGACAGAGGTCCACCAACTGTTATTTGCAGCTCACTATTAGCGCTGAAGACATATTTTTATTATTTATCCTGATGCATGCTCAATAATCCAGGTAGATAAATCTGACAACGTTCAGTCAGTTCCTCTGGACGTTTTCTTCTTTGTTGGAACGTTACATCTTTTATAGCAGCACCTTCTCCAGAAGTTGCTGCTTATAAAACTGAGGCCTCATTTACACCGAAACAGCCGCTAGAAACAGTGTTTTTCAGATGCTGATTCGGGGAAAAAATCCTCGTTTACACGGACCGCATTCAGTGTTTCTGCAGCGAACTGCAGAAATCCTGTGAATCTGACGCCAGGTGATTAGATGGCGCCTCTGAATTTTGTACCTGCACCTAATGCACATGCGCTCTGGCACTTGAAGCCTGTGTGTAGAATGTAAACATTTATTTATAGAGTGGAAAGCAGCAGAAAAAAACTTTGTGTGGACTGATGATGAGGTTAGTTCATTGCTTAATGTAGCACAAAAACCAGTATGTTGTTGATAGAAGTATGCTGTTTGGCTGTGCCTGCGTGAAATATACACCTGTAGTGTGCATGTGCAACTTCACATTTGCAGAGCATTTCACACCTCTGCAGGGGGATTCCCCTGAAAATGACCACTCTGGATTCAAAAACCTTCGGTTTCATAGAGAACGAGGGCTGTTGTGTAAAAGAACGGCCGAACCGCAGCAGAAAAGTTGCAGTTTCACTCAAAAAAACGCGTCGTGTAAACTGAAGCTCCTCAGATTGAAGAAGTCTTTTGGATAAAAGATGAAACGTTTCAATAAAGAAGAATCTAGAGGATCTGGCTCAACTATGTCAGTAGGGGTGTAACAATACATTGATTTAAATCGATTCAATGATTAATGATTCGATTATATCGTGGCAAAACTAAAACATCGATTCATATAGTCATCTTTAAAATATGCTTTTATTTTGAAATTCCCAAGGCACGGCCGCCTCAGCAACATGGCAGACGAGGCAGAAAACACAGATAATGAAATTCACTCTCCTGCTGGATTTAAATCAACACTGTGGACATATTTTTGATCCCAACAGAAGGACGACTCGACAGACAGAACTCATGTCGTATGCGACAGGTGCCAGTGTGAGTTAAAATACTCGGGGAAACAACAAATTTGGCCGTCCACCTGAACAAGAAACACGGCATTGATAGCCATGTTATGTAAGCTCAATATCTATTTTGTTTCTTTATAACTGAAAGGTAATCAGAGCACTTTCAAGTTAACTGGTGTAAAAAAAAAAAAAGCACTTAAACATGAGAAATGTGAGACATACTGAACAGGATTTATTTTTTCATTAATTAAGAAAATAAATTTTTAATTTAAATGCCTGGTGCCTGTAATAACAGAAATAAAATGGATAAATCATATTTGAATTGCTTTTGTAAATTTATTTATATGTAAATGAGATGGGCATTTGATATCACAATATACTGATGGCAGA